TTTACCAAAATGTGTATGGTTTTCTTCCACACTAAAAAAAGATTTTTCAAAGTCCTAACTTGACTTAGGCAAAACAGAGACCCCATAATTAACTAGTGAGGATTTCTTTCATGAAAATAATTTTATTTGTCCGAATTGTTCATATCATAATAAATTATAAGTTATTTTATTAAAAATTTGTAATTTCACTCGTCGGTACAATTTCGATTTATCACTATCAAAATCTTGTTTAACTCCTCTTATTAAGAGTATAGATACCAATCATTTTAATTGAATTACTAAAAATTTAATTTCTTAATTATAAATCCCTTTAGACTTACGCTTGACTTACTTCACGTGTCGGACATGAAATTTACCAACTTGGTTTACACGTGAAATTTTATAAGTTTTCTAAACGTAAGCTAAAACATGAATTATATCAATGTAACGACCCGGCCGGTCGTTTTGAGAGTTTAAGCTCCGTTCGGCAGTCTAAGGTCTTGAACCGCTTCATAATAAGTGTATCGACTTGGGTACAAGGTTGAATTCAGTTACCAGATGATTCAGAGTCCAATTGGAAGAAGGAATCTAGTTTTGGAAGCTTTAGCGATGAGAATTTGACCGGAATGTGACTTTTGTGTAAACGGCTCCGGAATGAGTTTTGGATGATTTCAGCAGCTTCATATGGTGATTTTGGACTTAGGCGCACGTCCAGATTTGGATTTGGAGGTCCGTAGAGTAAATTGAGGCAAATCGGCGAAAGTTCGAAAAAGTTGAAATTTGGAAAATGGAGAAGTTTGACCCACAGTTAACTTTTGTGATATCGGAGTCGGAATGCGATTCCGAGAGTTGGAACAGCTCTGCTACGTCATTTGGGACTTGCGTGCAAAATTTGGTGTCGTTTGGAGTTGATTTGATATGGTTCGGTCGCTTGGTTGCAAACCTAGAAGTTCTTGAAGTTCATAGTTGATTTTCATGAATTTTGCATCTGATTCGTGGCTCTAGAGGTTATTTTGGTGTTCCGATCGCACGAGCGAGTTCGTGTTATATTTTCAAACTTGCGTGGATGTTTAGCATGGAGCCCTGAGGACTCGGATGAGTTTCGTATGCGTTTCGGAGTGTTGGAAGAAGGTTCAGCTGTGCTGGTGTCTCTGTTCTCGCATTTGCGAGGATTTCATCGCAAATGCGATGACCACATCTGCGAGATCATTCTTGCATTTACGACACTAGGCTGGGGTAGGGGAGTTCACAATTGCGAACAACTTCATCGCATTTGCGACTAGGCAGCTCCGCATTTGCAACGCAACTGTCGCTTTTGCGAACATCTCAGAGCTCGCATTTGCGAGTCTTGTGTCGCATTTGCGACCTGATTAGAGCTGACTAGCCTTCGCATTTGCGATACTTATGTCGCATTTGCGAGAATCGCATTTCCTGTCCTGATGTCGCAAAAGCGACATCTGAGGTTGGTATTAAGACTCCCATTTCGGGGCTTAGCTTCATTTTATCATATTTTGAACCCTAGGTCCGAGGGTGGGCGATGTTGAGAGAAGATTTTCAAACCAAATCATTGGGTAAGTGTCTCTAATCCATTTCCCACTATATTTTGTGATTATATCTTAGATTTAACATCAAATTCATGAGAATCTAAAGGAAAATTTGGTGAAAAATTGTAAAATCTTTCAAAAATAAAAAATGATGATATGAAGGACGAATTGGTATCGGAACTTGATAATTTTGTATGGTTGAACTCGTATCGGAATGGGTAATCAGTTTTCGTAAAATTTGTCGAGTTCCAAGGTACGGGCCCGGGGGTCGACTTTTGGACCGATTTTTGGATTTTATTAAAGATTGAGACTTTATGATCCGGAATAGTTTCTTATGAGTTTTCTTTGTTCTTTAAAGTTATTTTGGTTAGATTTGAGCCGTCCGGAGGTCATTTCACCCGAGCAGTTCATTTTAGAGTATCGATTTATCTTCTTTGAGGTAAGTATCTTGCCTAACCTTGTGTGAGAATTTCCCCTTAGGATTTGAGTTTTCTATGTTGATTGTAGTCCGTGTACGCGAGGTGACGAGTGTGTACTCGGGCTTATTTGTGGAAAACTAGCCTTTTAGGGTTCTTAGGTCCTTATATTCACTGTGTATGAAGTTGTTCTTGATATGACTGAGTTCCTATTTACTAGTTTTACCTCTACATGCTTAAATTAGAATTAATTGCTTTAGGATTCACTCTTATTGCCTATTTGACTCTTATTTGACTTAACTGAAGATTTTACCTCTTCTACTGTCATTCTATCTTTTCATAACTGCTTATCTTTATTTGAAATTTATCATAATCTCATTCTATAATTGTTTAGTCTTAATTGAGGTTATGATTATCTTTCCGTTGTCTATCTTTAATTGAATTGTTGAATATTCTTCGTGATTGCCCAACCTTAAAAGAAGTCTAGATATCTCATGTTTTAGTTGACTTCCCCTTATTTGGAACTATTTGACTCATGTTAGTTTTCCTTTTTGCCGAACTGTATATTGTGGAATCGTTGTGGCATATTAGTTCCTTCCTTGTTGAGATGTTCTCTTTACGCCTAGCATTCTTTACGGTGGTTATTCCTTATGAATGAGTTCTACCGTTTCTTTGTGATTTAAAGTTCTTGAGTTGATTTACTTGTCGTATTTTGTATTATTGTCATTGTTGCTGTTGTACTTGTTGTGGCGATGCACGAGATTTCTATCGTGCTGTAACTGTTATCTCTGTTGGTTGCGCTGCACGAAACGGTATTCCGGGAGATCTCCCTGTTCGGCATATTTACTTTGGGACTAAGGAACGTATTCCGGGAGATCCCCATGTTCTGCATATTTACTTTGGGACTACGGAACGGTTTCGGGAGATCCCCCTGCACTGCATATTTATTTTGGGACTACGGAACGGTATTCCGGGAGATCCCCCTGCACATTTACGTTTGGAACTACGGGACGGTATCCTGGGAAATCCCTTTATTATTATATCTGTGTTCTGAGCCGTTGATCTTCTGTGCTTACATTCTTGTAAATATTCCACGTGCTGTCCGTTCTTTTCCTTATACTTGCTAGCTGGTATGAACTACATTAGGACACTTGCACAGGCATACACGTAGCTAAGCACCCTTATCGAATAAGATTTTTTCTTGATATTGCTGAGTATAGACGCACACCCTTGTTTACTTGCCTTCCATGTGAGAATGGCTCTATTTAGCACATGAGTCGTCAGTGCGTTTATGAGGTGTGATGAGGGCACAGGATGCCAAGTGTTAGGGTTCAGGTATTGAGACCCGTGTTGTATGATTTATGAGATAAGGTGTCACAGGGTGACTTATATTCGAAGAATATTTATTTGAAAAGATTATATTCGAAAGGTATTTATTTCGAAATAACTATGTTTGAAAGATATTTTTGAAGAAAGTATATTTCGAATTTTTATTGGGAAGGATTATATTCTAATGATTTCTATTTGAAAACTTATGGGTGAAAGACTTATATTTGAAGGATTTGACTAATTGATCGGAGTTTGTTGGCTAAGGCCTGATGTGAAAATTGTCGTAGTTGTTGAATTTTTATTTGTCTTTATTGTATTTGTAATTTCGGATTTGGGATGTATTTCCGTTCACTCTTCTGTTTCTTTATTATGATGTTCCGCTATTACTTGTTGTTTCCTTCCTTATTGCAATTTTTTGTATTGTTAGCCATATCACATAGTCTTTATGTAGATATCATGTTCGATTGTTCCTATACTTATACTTGTCAGTTTATTAGACCAGTAGGTGTCTTGACTGTTCCTCGACACTACTCCACCGAGGTTAGTCTTGATACTTACTGGGCACCGCTGTGGTGTGCTCATACTATACTTCTGTACATTTTTTGTACAGATACATGTATTTGTTCGTTAGTAGCTGTGCGGATCGTTGTTGTGGAGACTCAAGGTAAACCTGTTGCTGCGTTCGCAGGCTTTGGAGTCATCTTCCTAATTTTGTATTCACACTGTTTTACTTATTTCCAAACAGTTCTACTTAGAAGTTGTAGTAAACTCTGTAGAGCTTATGACTTGTACTACCGGTTTGGGAAATTGTAAATTCTATAAAGATTTCTATATTGAGACTGTTAGACATTCTTTATTATTGTTGATATTCAGTAAATGTTAGGGTTACCTAGTCCCTAAGACTAGGTGCCTTCATAATACCCAACGGAGAAAAAATTGGATCGTGACAATCAACTAATTATTACTTCATAATTGTATATTGCCATCAGCCAATATATTAGGCAATATTGATCCAAAAAGTGTTAATATATTAAATGAACTAGATAATTTGTTTAAGATAGTTAGAATTAAATACTTATTTCTATTCAGTCATTTTAATGCAGTCATAATGTATCAACTCGAGAAGTTGAAATTACACCATTGTCATAATTAAAATAAATTATATTTAATCATGTACTACAACAATACAGATGGCATATCCAAACTCCATCTTAAATTGTGAATTAAAACTTCGAAACTTATAAGAATTGATGATTTATTTTTTTATATATAAACTAAATTCCATACAATATCACACCGACGAATCACCGATCTATTTATTGCAAAAGTTTATTAAATTGATGTAATTATATATTATTTTATAATAAATACTATATCTAAATACATGATTAATAGCATATATCCCAACAACTTCCTCTCAAACTTTTAATCATGATATATATATATATATATATATATATAAAACGATTACTAGTAATCTCATCATATACAACAAAGAAAATCACGATCCAATGTATACACAAATGGAAGACGTTTGAGAATAGGACAATATTGAGATCTCACATTTGTACGTCTGGAACGACAATTATATTTATTCCATAAAAATATATAGATCACAATTTCATTCATAGTCCAAACCGTAAATTGATTAAGTTCAATAAAAGCTGT